CTGTCTCTACTAAAAATACAAAAAAATTAGCCGGGCTTGGTGGCGTGTGCCTGTAGTCCCAGCTATTCGGGAGGCCGAGTCTGGAGAATCGGCAGAGGTTGCAGTGAGCTGAGATTGTGCCACTGCACTCCAGCCTAGGTGACAGAGCAAGACTCAGTCTCAAAAAATAATTTTTTTAAAAAAAAGGTTAGGTAAAATTATGTGTGTGTGTGTGTGTGTGTGTGTGAGAGAGAGAGAGAGAGAGAGAGAGAGAGAGAGAGAGAGAGAGAAACAGCTCAATGTCCAACAATTTAGAAATTGTTAAGTAAATTTTAGTATATCCCAACAATGAGATAGTAGGCAACCACTGTACATTATAATTAAGATGTCCTTTATGGTTTTTTGGTATTTGGGAGGGGGGGTTGTTTGTTTGTTTTGAGACAGAGTCTCCTGTTGCTCAGGCTGGAATGCTGTGGCACAATCTTGGCTCACTGCAACCTCAGCCTTCTGTGCTCAAGCATCCTCCCACCTCAGCCTACTGAGTAGCTGGGACCACAGGCCAATGCCACCATGCCTGGCTAATTTTTATATTTTTTGTAGAGACAGGGTTCTGCCATGTTGGCCAGGTTGGTCTTGAACTCCTGAGCTCATGCCATCCACCCACGTCAGCCTCCCAAAGTGCTGGGATTAAAGGCATGAGCCACCACACCCAGCCAAGATGTGTTTGAATATTAAGAAAGTAATCCCGTTTCAAGGAAAATGGGAAAAAGTGAGAACAAACTGTATATCTATTTTTTTAATGCAAGTCACAACCCAGTACCAGGCTGTAAAATCAGGTAGCAACCAACTTTTTTGTGGCAGAAATAATTTTCAGTGGACTAGAATAGCATAGAATGGAGTGGAATCAACTACCATAAAATTTGGAAGCGTCTCTGACATAGTAAAAGTAAGTATTTCATCACCCATACACACATAGGTATGTGCGTGTTTGGGTTACAGTGTAAAATCTGTCTCTTATTGTAGGTTGCAATAAAAAAGATCAAACATATAGTATAAAATCAACTATAAAAATGTGACACACTACAAAAAAATAACCAAACATTCACAGCATTTACTGCATTTCTGGGTAAGTGTTGTGGATTTTTTTTTTTCCTTCACACTTTGTCATTGTTTTAGTTTGTGATATGTATATATTACTTATAAAATCTGAGAAAAGCTATATCGTAGCATTAATTTTACATTCACAGAACACTATGTAATTTTCTTTTTCTTTTTTTCATTTCCTTTTTGTTTTTTTGATATAGAGTCTCCCTCTGTTGCCCAGGCTGGAGTGCAGTGGCACAAACACAGCTCACTGCAGCCTTGACTTCCTGGGCTCAAGTGATCCTCCTGCATCAGCCTCCCATGTAGCTATAGCTGGTACCACAAGCCCATGCCACCATGCCTGGCTTTTTTTGTTTTTTTTGTTTTTTGGTTTTTTTTTCCAGAGATGGGGTCTGTCTTTGTTGCCCAGGCTGGTCTCAAATTCCTAGGCTGAAGAGGTGATCCTGCCTTGGGATTACAAAGTGCTTAGATTACAGGTGTGAGCCACTGCCCCCGGTAATAATCTTCAATCCATACAGGGCTTCCCTAGCACTTACAATTCAATACGGCGTTATGCAGAAGACAAGGGAAGAAATCAGGAGGAAAAGTTCAGAGTAACAGAATGTTAGAGCTGACAGAGTTCTTTTTTAGAAAATTAATCCAACCTCATCTTTCACAGAGGGCCTTGAAGCCAGATTGCTAAGATTCCAATCATGACTCGATCACGTGTTCACTGTATTACCCTGGGCTAACTTCTCCGTGGCTTGAGGTTAATATTGTCTACCTGAGGCCAGGCGTGGTGACTCATGCCTGTAATCCCAACATTTTGGGAGGCCAAGGCGGGTGGATCACAAGGTCAGGAATTCAAGACCAGCCTGGCCAACATAGAAAAACCCTGTCTCTACTAAAAACACAAAAATTATCCGGGTGTGGTGGCACGCACCTGTAGTCCTAGCTACTCAGGAAACTGAGGCAGGAGAATCGCTTGAACCTGGGAGGCAGAGGTTGCAGTGAGCCAAGGTCGTGCCACTGCACTCCAGCTTAGGTGACAGAGTGAGATTCTGTCTCAAAACAAAACAAAACAAAACAAATCAAAAAAACACATATATATAGCCTACCAGAGAGTGTGGGGGCACAAATTAAATGACATGTGTAAATTTCCAAGAACAGTGGCAGGCACTCAGCAAATATAAAAGTTTACTTTTGTTATTGTTGCCATTGCTGCTACTGATATTGGTACCAAGGAGGACATGAGGCCCAAACACCAAGAGTGGCTGCTGGTTGGGGGTGGTGATTTCATTGTCTCCACCCCACTGCTGACGAAACAGGTTCAAAGTGGTTCTCCAGGACAGGCTGGGTGTACACAGCTGGCACAGACTCACTGCACATTAAAGCCGGAAGGGATCTTTGCAAGTGCATGATTTGGATACCCTCACTTTACAAAAGTGAAAAGGGAGGCTCAGAGAGATTAAATGTCCTTCCAAAGGTCACACAGCTCACACATGATGGGAACAAACCTGAGACACCCAGTTCCCTGCCCCACATTTCCCTCAGCCTGAATGTTCTAATATAGGAGTGACATATTGTAAATGCTAAAGGATTTTTAGAAGAAAATATAAAGATTGGGGGGGAGGAATAGCATTAGGAGATATACCTAATGTAAATGATGAGTTAATGGGTGCAGCACTCCAACATGGTACATGTATACATATATAACAAACCTGCACATTGTGCACATGTACCCTAGAACTTAAAGTATAATAATAAATATATATGTGTGTGTGTGTATATATATATATATATATATAAAGATTAACCCAACAGGCTCTCAGATGGGAACAAGGTGGAACAGACATGAGCTAGAATTATAAGCCAAGTACAGTTAAATTAAAACTTTAAATGAACTACAGCCTATTAACCACAACCTACCATTAGACTTCTATGAATTTTTAAAAGCCATACTTTCACTAGAAGGAACTGGTAATAGAGGTTTAATTAAAAACACAAGCAGAAGCAACCATCAATCTTCTCTAGCTGAAAACAAAGACATTTATTTCTGCAGCAAACTGGACCCTGAGGAATGGCCATCAGAATGATCACTGTTGGTCTCACAAGTCCCTGAGTCATGGAAGAAACCTTTAATTATACATCACGTATGAGAGATTCAGGTTTTGGAAGATTTTCAACAACAGGGGGCTGTCTGGCTGATGCTGAGTTGGGTGGCCCTGCAGTTCTTTGGAACCTGCACTCCATCTCTGAGCACTGTGGACTCTGCAGGTTTCCAAGATATTCCAACATGGCAGAAGGGCCACTCACCTCTCTCACCACTCACCTGTTGTTATGTTCCCAAAGCCCAGAGTGATGAGCCGTTCCTTGTGCTCATTGAGTTGGTGCTTGGACTCATTGAGGACACCGTTGGCCCACAGAAGCAGGTTGGTGAACACTGAGTGGATCACCCCAAACCTGAAAAACACAAGGACTCAGTTCTCAAGCAGCCCTGGGAGAGCCGCAAGCAGCCCTGGGAGAGCCTCAAGCAGCCCTAGGAGAGCCTCAAGCCCCCCTAGGAGAGCCTCAAGCCCCATGGGCTGAGACAGACGTGTGCACACAAATACACGGCTCCTTCTCAGCCATGATTCTGGTTTCACCTAGCAGCTCAGACTCTGGACAGGCCCCCTGCCTGGCTGGGTGGGGTAGATCAATGGAACCTTCCAAACCCACAGACTCTTGGCATTCAGCCTTAGTCTTGAACGTGCCAGTACTCAACTCAATGCCTACAGGACATCAAAGAAGCTGGGTCTTGGAAGCAGAGCCAGAGGGATGAAAATTTACTAAAAGCAGAAAAACCACCTCACCACACCCCAAATATTTTTCCCAGAAGAGAAGAGGAGAGGAGAGAACAATGAGGGAAAGATGAAAGAGTACCACTGGAAATCTGGACAGCAGGTCCAGCCTTACTGCTGATTGGCCAGCCCCAACCATCATCCACCCCTCTACCATGCCACCTACTTCTAAGGACACTGAAACAAGCCAGAGACTCCTTGGCAGCTAGGCATGGCCATTCTGGCCAGTGAGATGTGAGCTTTAGTCTACTGGGCACTACTGAAAAGCTTTTGCTTTCCTGACAAAAGAAACAAGAATAAGAAAAGTCTACTGTGGTCCCTTTCTCCTTTTTATCTAGCCTTGAATGTGGACATGAAGGCTGGAGCTGTGGCAGCCGTCTTATGACTATGAGACAGCTAGCTTGGGCTAAAGCTGCAGCCCACTGAGGATGGCAAAGTGGAAATCTAGAAAGAGCCTGCTCGGTAATGACATTGTTGAGCTGCAGGAGATCCAGATAGGCTCAAGGATGAGCCCATGGTCACACATGGAGTAAGCAGCCACATGGGGGTTTGCCAAGACGGTAAGCAGCAGAGCTCTTCTAGTCTGATTCCAGAGTCCTGCCCTTGGCTCTGTGCCATGCTGCCTCCTACGGCAGAAGATAGAAAAGAGAACTAAGTGGAAGGTGGACACTGGACTCTGGGTAGCAGGCGAGAGATTCATGGGGAATGCGGTCCCCATAAGGTCACTGATTTCTTCAAATACTCCAAAGTCTTCCTATACCTGCAGGCTTAAGGTGTATTCACACTGGTAGCTTTCAGGGTACTTAGCAACGTGCCTTGCAGGTAGCAGGTGCAGCAAACACTGGTGATTTGAGAGAGGGATTCTTTAAAACTTTCTGTGGAATTGATCACTCCTAAATTGGAAAGCAGAGGCCCACAGGAAGCATGATTCTGGTTTCACCTGGCAGCTCAGGCTCTGGGTGGGTCCCCTGCCTGGCTGGGAGGGGCAGATCCATGGAAACTTCCAAAACCACAGAGTCTTGGCATTCAGCCTTAGTCTTGAACTTGCCAGTACTCAACTCAATGCCTATAGAACATCAAAGAAGCTGGGTCTTGGAAGCAGAGCTAGAGGGATGAAAATTTACTAAAAGGAGACAAAGACACCCCTCAACCATGATCTGCCCACGGGAAAAATGGTGCAACTGCGTTCTCAACCTTGACCCTGCCTCTTCTCTCCGTTTTAACCTCAGCTGATCTCTCTGGGACTCTCACGGGAAACTGCAGGCAAAACCTTGCCTCATTTGAATCCTGGCTTCCTTTGGCATAATGTCCAAGCACAACTGGAGAAGGAAACAGAATCCCAGGGTGTCTGAGTCAGGTGTTTGCCAATCTGTTTTCCCCTTGCGCTTGCCCAGTTGCTGTAGATCATGGCCAGCCTTCCCCAAAGCATCTGGGAAGCATTCTATAGAGCCTTTGACAAACGCAGACAATGCTGTTTGCCTCATACTGACTGGCTTTTCTTTTACTCATAATGCACACAGCTCCCCTTTCTTCTCTCCTTTTTCCTGGTCCAAATGGCACTATCCAGTCCCAGACCCATGGAACTCAAGGAGGTAGCACTGTTGCCACGCATGGCTGTAAGCTGTTCTGCCACGCAAGCTCCCTGCAAGCTGGCAGCCTCCTGTTGGCTTGATGTGGAAATGGTCCACAAACCAAGGGCAGATGTCATTTTCCCATGCCAGGCTGCCTTTCTCATCACTGGATTTGACAATCCCAGACTACTGTAAAGGGAAGGCTCTCATGAGCCATTTCTAATCTCAGTGTATGTTTCCTTCATCTGTGTGTGTGCACATGGTGCTTTCTTACACGGTAACAACACCTTGCAGTTAGGAGATTCACTCCATTACCCTGTTGATTCTTTCCTTCCATCCTCACAATCCCCTGGGAGGGTGGTGGGTGGACCTAGTAACAGATCCTACACTTGCTGAGTGCCTGTTACATAGTGCTTTACATCAATTCCTTCATTCAGTCCTTGAGGCAGTCTACGTTATTTTCTCTGAAAGAAACCAATAGATTCTTCTCCACGATACTGAAGATTGTCGAGCGGCAGAAGGTTAAAAACTCAGGGGACATTGCCTCTCCCTGTGCCTGCCTGATGGCAGGAGGGCGATTCACAAAAACAAAAGATCTTGCTACCTCCCCTTCCTTTCCTGCATACAGACAGAGATGTGAGTTTTGTTCTTACTGGGGACAGCTCTGGGCTCTTACCAGCTCAGAAATGAGGTCAGCAGAGATAGGAGAATCTGGGAGCAAACTTAGCTTGGTCTTGTTTGCTTATAAGATCTTATAAGATCTTATAAATCTTATAAGATTTATGGCTCTTCGTTAAAATACTATCTAAGCAAGGCCCCCAAACCACTGCCTTAACAGAAATTTGTTAGAACTGAGGTCCCTCCCACATTATGCGCACACGGCAAGTGTCAATAAACTCCTGTTAGTTTTTCTCTTGTTAATCTGACCTTTGTTTTCAGGACAGCATCTCAACTGAGAATTTATGAGGGTTAAAAAAAGAAATTACATTTTCTTCCCTTCATCTCCATTTCATAGATGAGGAAACTGAGGGTCATAAGGGAAAAGTGTCTAAGATACAGACTCAAATTCAAAATGGTCTGAATTTCAAATTCAAATTCAAAATTCAAATTCTAAGATACAGACTCAAATTCAAAATTCAAGGCCACTTCTTGCTACTTCTGGACCCGTCCCATGGAGAAGCCAAAGGCAGAAACCCTCTTCTCTCTGCCGTAAGTGAGGGCTCAGCTTTTAGGACTGAGCGGAGAGTTGGTCTGTTTTTATCATCGAAGCGAGATGGCAGTGACGAGTTTTGATCATTCTAAATGAATGCCAAATTCAACATACAAAGCAATTACCCACAATTTTTACCTTTCCAGTGTTTTGAAAGACTGGATAATATCCTTTGCATGCCCCCAAAGAAAATACACCTAGATGGAAATAAAGAAAGAAAAGAAAAATCGGTGATACACTCATCATTACACTTGCAAACTTGAGAAGCTATAAAACTCAAAGAAAAGGTATGAGAAAATTCTGGGACATCAGTGACCTCCTGCTCCATCTTAGGTGGCAGTGCCACTCCCCACTGGGGACAATGATCCAGGACTACCGTGCAGAAAAATAAAGTGAGGCCTCTTGGTTCAGGAAGAAATGGTGCAGCAATTCATTAAGGATGTCTTCTGTGTCTTCTGTGAGATGCGGCGATTGATTTAGGATGTCTGCGGTGGGACAGAGTACGGAAGTAGTAGCCTGCCCGACATTAATCCTATAACTGGTTTATATCACATGTTAGTTTTCACCCAAGAAATATTCACTGTACAGTTACTGTGTGCCAGTGGCCAGAAAGGAAATGTTGAGAGCTTTAAATGAATAATGAAATTGATTTGGGCTGGTTTTTTATTTCACTCTATTACATATGCTAAGCAGTCCCCCGGATATGCAGTCACTAGCAGCAATACAGGGAAAGGATTGAAATCATGGATTCCCTATAGTAACAGACCTGTGAAAATCCTGACTTCCTCACTGAATAACCCATGGCCTTGGACAAGTCAGGGAACCTTGCTGAATCTGTTTTCCTGTCTTTGAAATGGGGATGACGGGAACTTACCCTAGCACCTGAAGAAGCGTGTGTGTTTTCAATAAATATTCTCCACTGTTCACTCACTAATTCACTGACATTGTCTGAGCTCCTCCTATATACCAGGCATTATTTGGGCTTCTAAAATGTTTTGGGCTTTATTTTAGAGATAAACACATATTGAGCAGCTACTGCATGCCAAACACTGCTAGGCATTTTATAAATTTGTCTCATTTAATCTTTATTTTCTAATTAAGAGTCACAAAAATCAAATCAGACAGTACAAAATAAAATAAATATCCACATATCACCTCGTTCACATTCTTTTACCTAAGATTTACCATCTTACTCAGGAAAACACACTCAGGGCATTAACTGTCTTGAAACATCCAGTAATAAAAACAGACAGCAGTGACTCCTCATTAAAGCATTCAGCCCAATAACAGGGAAACAGTTAAGTAAATTAGCAATTATCAATGATTTGAAAGTAGACAGCCATTTAATTGATGCTTTTTATAAAAACTACCTACCAACATTGAAACCTTTTTCTAGTGAAAAACTTGTAATAGAAAATTCTACACCCACAAACTTTGAGAAGAATGTACACTTTCAGTACAATGAATGGAGGAAATACATAAAAACAATAGCGAATGCTGGTTTCAGTTGATTTGCTTACAGGTGCATTTTTATTATCTTTTCCATTTTTTCTCAGTGATGTTACATTATATTTTTAAAATAAATGCTTTTTGCTTTTTTTTTAGAATTACCATATGGTCCAGCAATACCACTTCTGGAGATATATACACATACATACATATATATATATATATCTCCAAAAGAAGTGAAAGCAAGTTATCAGAAAGATATTTGTCCACCCATGTTCATAGCAGCATTATTCACAATAGCCAAGAGGTAGAAGCAACTCATGTGCCCACTGATGGATGAGTGGATGATCAAAATGTAATATAAACCAAAAAGTACCTGAGATAGGTCTCAATCAATTTAGAAGTTTATTTTGCCAAGATTAAGGACACGCACCTGGGAGACATGTCTGTGCCTTTCTTTACAGATGATTTTGAGGTCTTCAATATTTTAAAGAGAAAGGAAAAATACCGTGAAACAAGGAAGAAATGTTTTTATAAAGGTGTGGGTAGATAAGAGGCAAATGGTTGCATTCTTTTGAGTCTTTGATCAGCCATTCTCATGTGAAGAGGGTAGAGGAATAGTCACTTACACATCGGTCTAGCTCGGTGAAACTGCGTTTCTACTAAGATAAAACAAATGTAGGGCACAAGAAGCCATCAGGTATGCGTTTGTCTCAGGTGAGCAGAGGGCTGACTTTGAGCTTTGTCCTTTGTCCTGTGCCTGCGAAGATCAGCTATCCACTTACATTGTGAGGGTGAAATTTAACACAACTGTTTTAGTGTAAAGATCTTGGATCCCACAAGGAATTTCCTAGTGGACAAATTGTGAGGGAGGTTTGTAGCTTTTTAAAATCTTTAAAATCTGTGTAGCTATCTTATTTAGGAATAGAATGGGAGGAGGTTTGCCTGACGCAGTTCCCAGCTTGACTTTTCCCTTTGGTTTAGTGATTTTGGGGTCCCAAGATTTATTTTCCTTTCACAGTGGTATAGACATACAATGGAATTTCACTCAACCTTAAAAAGGAAGAAAATTCTGATACGTGCTATATCATGGATGACCCTTGAGAATATTGTGCTGTGAGAAATAAGCCAGACATGAGAAGACCAATACTGTATGATTCAATTTGAATGAGGCATCTAGAATAGTCAAACTCATAAAGACAGAAAGTAGAACAGAGTTTGCCAAAAGCCGGGGAGGGGGAGGAAATAGAGAGTTGTTTAGTGGGCTCAGAGTTTCAGTTTTGCAAGATGAAAAAGGCCCGCAGATTGGTTGTACAACAAGTGAACGTACTTAACATTACTGAACTGTACGCTTAAAATGACTAAGATGGTAGATGTTATGTGATTGTCAACCTACAAAGAAAAGACACTAGAGAAAATTATTTCTAAATATGTTGGATTTCCTTGGAAATAGAAATAGGAATTACAATCCAGAATGCATGGAATGGCAAGCCACCAGTGCATTCGGTGAGGGAAGGGTAAGGAGGAGCTGTTATTAGCAAAGAGAGATTTACATAATTCACTGAGAAACAGAGTTCCTTGGTTCTAGAGGCTCAAAGCCAGAGTTGTCATCAGTTCATTGGTGGAGATGCCAGTGCTGGGCAAGAGTTCTTCCAGGAGCATCTTATCTGCTTTACTGCAGTCCTAAAGAATGTCTCGTAATGTCTAGCTTCATCAAAGCAGGAGATGCATGAAAGGTTTTTAGAAAGTCCTTGGAAACACTTTGTATCTCAGACACATAGGCAGGAGTCCCCTCTCCTTGGTGCTTTCCCAGGCCTGTTTTGCCTGGGTCTGACAAAAGTGATTTCATCCTAGTATCTACAGGTTTTACAGTATTTGCCACAATTTTAAAATAAATACTCTGTTTTTTAGAAGAGCGCCTAATTGTTACATATATGTGTGTGTGTGTGTGTGTGTGTATGTGTACTGTTTTCCATTCTCCAGTCATCTAATGTAGCAAAAGCACATGGTAAGTGTCCAACAGGTATAGAATGATTAATTCATTGACTTGCCAGGCCAATAAAATGCCTTAAATTAGAAAGCTAGGATCTCCAACCCACCAACTAAGAGGGATATTTTGAAAATTCATATCTGTCCCGGTCATTCTTCTGCCTAAAGCCTTCAGTGGTTCCCCATTGCCCTCGAGGTGAAACCCAAGCCCCTAGCTGATGGTCAGCCTTGACCAAGAATTTGCTGCACACCTAGCCCTGTGCTAAGTGCTTTTCATACACCTGTGCCTTTAATCTATACAATGAGCCGATGAAGTAGGTACTGTGATTGTCCTCACCTCGCAGGTAAGACCCTTGAGGCCCAGAGAAGTTAAATAACTTGCCTGAAGTCACACAGCTGTGGTCAGAGCCAGAGTCATGCAATGTGACCAGAGTGCAAGCTTACAAGCCCTACGCCAAACCGCGAATACAACCTGTGCCCACACATCCCCTCCCTACCCCACTGTGAGGAAAGACACCCTCTTCCAGTGGCCTCTGACCCTCTACCCCTGTACTCCTCCCTCTCTCACAGATGGTTCTGGGACCTTCCCTGGCAGAAAGCAACCCTCACGCCAAGCTGCCAAAATGCCCTCCTTTGTGTTCCCTCATTGCTCTGGGACACTCTGGTCAAAGCACTGAGCCCAGTGTTGTCACTGTTTTGGGGACTGTCATCTAACTGACACCCTCATGGTGTGTGCCACAGACCATGGCTTTGCACCCTTGTATTCCCCATGCTGAGAACAATGTTCACCCAGTACTTAAAGATGAACTGCATGAAAAATGAATGAATGAATAAATGCAATTCTTTCTGGTCTCATTAAAGCTTCCCACATTGTCACTGAATCACTATAAGGCTCTGTCTTCATGGGATTTGGCTCCCCTGGAATGAGCAGCCAGTTATCTTTGATCGGCTCTGGCTTCCATAACAAAGGACCACAGACCATCAGCTTCAATAACAGGAATTTCTCTTCTCTGGGTCGTGGGGCTAGAAATCCAAGATCAAGGTGTTGGCAGGGTTGGTTCCTTTTGAGGCCTCTCTCTTCGGCTTGTAGGTGGTCAATTTCCTCCAGTGTCTTTACATGGCTGTCCCTCTGTGTGTGTCTGTGTCCTTCTCTCCTCTTCTTATAAAGACACCAAGGCCAGGCACAGTGGCTCATGCTGTAATCTCAATACTTTGGGAGGCTGAGGCAGGTGTGTCGCCTGAGGTCAGGAGTTCGAGACCAGCCTGGCCAACATGGTGAAATCTCATCTCTACTAAAAATACAAAAACTAGCTGGGCATGGTGGCAGGTGCCTGTAATCCGAGCTACTTGGGAGACTGAGGCAGGAGAATTGCTTGAACCCAGGAGACGGAAGTTGCAGTGAGCCGAGATTATGCCATTGCATTGCAGCCTGGGCGACAAGCAAGACTCCGTCTCAAAAAAATGAAAAATAAAGACACCAGCATATTGAATTTGGGCCACCCTAATGATCTTATTTAACCTCAATTTCCTCTAAACGACCCTATCTCCAAATACAGTCACATGCTCAGGGACTCAGAATGAGGGTTTCGGCATATGAATTTCATGGGGATACAACTCAGTCACTCAGTCCATAACAGCTTTCGAGTGCAAGGTAGCCCCTCCAAATGAGCCCCTCAGCAAGCTCCCCAGCGATCCCACCGTGCCACCACTGAGTTAAACTGTTTCCAGGCTCACTGGGCGTGTTCTGTCTGTTAGCTTCACTGTTCGAGAATGTGTTTGATCTAGAGAAACACTCTAAGATCATCCAGTGCTATCTGGTATGTCAGCTAGGGATACCAACTGAAGGCCATTTTGGGTAAAAGATGACGTTTTAAAAATGGCATCCCTGGTTTTCTAGAGGTAGAAAACTTTCCAAAGAACATTCCCAAACTGGGAACTCAAAAATATTTCCAGCAATGGCAGGATCACTAGAACAAGTTCATGGTCTTCCAGGGTGACTTGTCAGGAAGAAAATAATCATTGTGTCTCCGCAGTGACTTTGAGCAAGTCATTTGTCTTCTCTGAGCTCCAACTTCTTCCTTAGAAAAGAATGAGGGCAGAGCCTGCCATTTGCAACAACATGGGCAAATCTGGAGGACATCGTGCTCAGTGAAATAAGGCAGATACAGAAAGAAAAATACTGCATAATCTCACTTATGTGTGGTATCTAGAAAAACATTTTTAATCAAATGCATAAAAACAGACAGTAGAAGCTGGGCATGGTGACGTGGGCCTGTAGTCCTAGCTACTAGGGAGACTGAGGCAGGAGGATCACTTGAGCTGAATTTACGGCTGCAGTGACCCATGATGGCACCACTGCACTCCACCCTGGGCAACAGAGCAAGACCCTGTCTCTAAAATTAAATTAAATTAATAAATAAAAATAAAATAACATAAAGAGTGGAATGCTGGTTGGAGGGGAAAAATTAGAAGATTTTGGTCAAAGGGTACAAAGTTGCAAATATGTAAGATGAATAATTCTAGAGATGTAATGCACAACTTGAAGACTATGGTTAATAATATTGTATTGTATACTGGAAATTTGCTAAGAGAATGGATTTTAGGTGCTCTTACCATACTTAAAAAAAGAAAGGCAACTATGTGAGATGACAGATATAAATATGCTTGACTGTAGTAATCACTTCACTATGGATAGGAATATAGAAGAATCATGTTGTATACCTTAAACATATGCAATAAAAAAGAAAAACGAATGAGGCTGACAATTCAACAATTCAGATCCTGACTCTGACAACATTACCACGGATTTCTGCCAAGGGCAAACACTACCCTGAAGGCCCATCTAACATTCTTTTCAACCATGAGATTTTTCTGACCCTGAGCTATGTATTTCAATCATATTTATCAAATCCTTACTTCTGAGCCACACCAAGTTTACTGGTGCTACGGGAAAAAATCCTCATACATTTCTAAAAGATTTTAATCCCCAAATGAGAAAACAAAAGTGTTCCCATGACCCAGAGGAGGCACTGCAAGGGCACAAGGTTTCTATGTAGGAAGAATATTAAATTTTTTTAAAAAAATAAAACTGATTTTGGCAATGTTGCATAACTCTATGAACAGACTAAACCATTAAATTGCACATGTTAAATGGGCGAATTATATGCCATGTGAATTCTCTCAATAAAGCTGTTACATACCCAGAAAATAAAATTCCCTCAAGCCTTTACTGTAGACTTTGGCTTGGCAGAATTTCCTGACTCTTCAACATTAGAAGTTCTGCCTCATAGGATCCCTGCAGAAACGGCCATGGGGACACAGACTTTTATTTTGCAATGGAGGCAGCTGAAGAACTAAGCCTCAAAGACAGACTTCAGTTCATCTTGGGACTGGCTGAGCAGTCCACAGCTGCTCACACTGGCTCCACTTGCCGCACGTCTTGATGTTACAAGTTTCTACACACCCTGGGAGATGCTTCACAGGAATGAGGCAATATAAATAAACATCAGTGGTTTACCTGCAACAAAGTGTGCACTGCATGCATGACAGGGAAAACTCCTTCAGTGGCTGATAAACATTCTGAAAATCCAATGAAGTATCCAATTTTAAGGCATCCCAGGACGATGGTAATGACTGCAAACAATGTGATACTACCTAAATGCGGGATGAAAGGGGAAGTGGAAACACACACATTGCATTAATATACATTGATGTCATTTCAAAATAATTTATATTATGTATTAAACCTTTATGTATATGGTCAAATGATTTTTCCCAAGGGTGCCGAGACCATTCAATGGGAAAAGGGCAGTCTTTTCAACAAATGTGGTGGGAAAACCGGATATCCACATGCAAATGAATGAAGTTGGACCCTCACCTTACACCATATACAAAAATTCACTCAAAACAGATAAAAGATCTAAAATAAAAGTATCAACCTTGTAAAAGAAGACATGGGGGAAGCTTCATGACATTGGCTTTGGCAATAATTTCTTGGCTGTGACACCAAAAATTCGAGCAACAAAAATTAAAATAAATAAGCTGAACTACATGAAAATGAAAATTTTTTGCATATCACAGGATGCTACCAACGAAGTGGAAAGATAACCCACAGAACTGGAGAAAACATTAGCAACTTATGTGTCTAGTAAGTCATTAATATCCACAATATACAGATTTGTTTACATTAAATACCTTGTATAATGAAATCGTACAGTACTGTCCTTTTGTAGTTGAGTTTATTTTACTTAGCATAATGTCTTCATGGCTCATCCATACTGTATCATGTGTCAGAATTTCCTTCCTTTTTAAACCAAATAATATTTTGTTGTATGTCTATACCTCATTGTGTTTATCCATCTATCTGTTGATGGATGCTGGGTCGCTTCCACCTTTTGGATACTGAAAATAATGCTACTATGAGGGAATTTATAGAGAATTCTTATATATCAACAACAGTGGGCTGGGCACAGTGGCTCACACCTGTAATCCCAGCACTTTGGGAGGCCTAGGAGGGTGAATAACTTGAGATCAGAAGTTGGAGACCAGCCTGGCCAACGTGGTGAAACCTGTCTCTACTAATAATGCAAAAATTAGCCGAGTGTAGTGGTGCATGCCTATAATTCCAGTTACTTGGGAGGCTGAGGCAGGAGAATCCATTGAACCTGGGAGGCAGAGGTTGCAGTGAACTGAGATCACGCCATTGTACTCCAGCCTGGGCAATAAGAGCGAAACTCCGTCTTCAAAAATCAATCAATCAACAATGACGAAAGCCAATTTAAAAATTGGCAAAGGACTTGAATAAACATATCTCCAAAGAAGACATAAAGATGGCCAGCAAGTACATGAAAAGATGCCCACCATCACTAATTATTAGAGAGATGTAAATCAAAACTACAAAAATACCACCACACTATCAGGATGGCTACTATCAAAAAAAAAAAAAGAAGAAGAAGAAGAAGAAAATGATAGAAAATAACAAGCATTGGTGAGGATATAGAGAAATAGTGCTCTGTTGGTGGGAATGTAAAGTGGCACAGCTACTACAGAAAACACTAGGGAGGGCCTTCAAAAAATCCAAAACACTATTACGGCAATGATCTGGCATTTCCACTTCTGAGTATATACCCGAAAGAATTGAAAGCAGGGACCCGAGGGGATATCTGTATTCTCCTGTTCATAGCAGCATTATTTTCAGTATCCAAAAGGTGGAAGCAAACCAGCATCCATCAACAGATGGATGGATAAACACAATGAGGTATAGACATACAACAAAATATTATTCAGCTTAAACAGGAAGGAAATTCTGACACACGATACAGTACGGATGAGCCATGAGGACGTTAGGCTAAGTAAAATAAACTAAACCACAAAAGGACAATACTGTCGGATTTCATTATATGAGGTATCAAATGTAAGCAAATTCATAGACAGAAGTAGAATGGTGGTTGCCAGGTGCTGGAGGGAGGGAAGAATGACGAGTTAGTGTTTAATGAGGACAGAGTTTCGGTTTTGCAAGATGAAAAACTTCTGGAGGTTGGTTGCACAGCAGCGTATATGTACTTAATACCACTGAGCTGTACACTTAAAAACTGGTAAGCTGGTAAATCTTATACATATAAATGCATGTTTTACCATGATTAAAAATATGTTAATAAAATAAATTCTAGCCCAGGCATGGTGGCTCATGCCTGTAATCCCAGCCCTTTGGGAGGCCATGGCGGGAGGATCACTTGAGGCCAAGAGCCTAAGCAACTCCATCTCTACCCAAAAATAACATAAAAATTATTTCTAAATAAATAAATAAATTCTACTGTTGAGTTGCAAAGGTAAAACTAGAAGGCAGGTGCTGTGTCCTGTTCATCACTGTACCCACCCCATAGCCCAGAGTCTGACAAATGATATACAATCAACAAAACCTGGTCCAATCAACAGAAGGCTTCTAGAAGCTTTTTCAAAAAGGAGCAATCTAAGAAGGTCACTGTTCTACTCAAAAATCTCAGTTCTCTAATCCTAAAATCCTGTTCTCTGAAGAGTAAGAGTGCAACTGGCCGGGTGCGGTGGCTCACACCTGTAATCTCAGCACTTTGGGAGGCCCAGGTGGGTGGATCACCTGAGGTCAGGAGTTCGAGACCAGCCTGCCCAGCATGGAGAAACCCCGTCTCTACTAAAAAATACAAAATTAGCGGGTGTGGTGGCGCATGCCTGTAATCCAGCTACACAGGAGGCTGAGGCAGGAGAATCACTTGAACCCAGGAGGTGGAGGTTGCAGTGAGCCAAGATCATGTGACTGCGCTCCAGCCAGGGCAACAAGAGTAAAACTCTGTCTCAAAATATATATATATATAAATAAGAAATTAGAATGCAGAGTGTGCAGGTCATATAGGTATACAGTAATTCTCTGAACTATCTTTGCCACTTTTCCATAAATCTAAAGCTTTTCTAAAATAGAACGTCTATTTATTTATTTATTTGAGACAGGGTCTTGCTCTGTCACCCAGGCTGGAGTGCAGTGGCATGATCTTGGCTCATTGCAACCTCTACCTCCTGGGTTCAAGTGATTCTTGTGCCTCAACCTCCTAAGTACCTGGGATTACAGGCGTGCACCACCATGCCCAGCTAATTTTTTGTATTTTTAGTAGAGACGGGGTTTTGCTATGTTGGCCAGGCTGGTCTTAAACTCCTGGCCTCAAGAGGTCCACCTGCCTCAGCCTCCCAAAGTGCTGGGATTACAGGCATAAATCACTGAGCCCATCTGAAAGCATATCAAAAAAAAAAAAAGATGAGTAAGGGCTCTAGAGTAGTAGCTGAGGAAGGGCCTGTGCTAGATGTACTGAAGAAAGGAAGCAATCTTTGATAAGATAATGAGCATGGTTTTGCCCAAAATATAAAAACAAACTAATAAAAAATATGCATATAAAGAAGACTGGAAAGGAATATACGAAATACATTAAAAAGACACTTGGTGACAAATGAAGAAATTAGTGAGAAAAAGGCCGTGATCATGAGCTCTTGATCAAGTCAGAGATCCTCATCTGTCTCCTGGGCTAGCATTGACCGCCATTTACACATTTGCTCCCACCAACAGGAGGAAATTGGATCATGTAGGACGTGCATTAAGGCACTGAGCAGAGAGGAGGGCATGAGCCATAACATTGGGCTATAACGTTACAGCTCCAGCCTGAGAAGCCTCCTCTGAAGAGTAATGCAATCGCCTGGCACTTTTCCACTGCTCAAAGCCTTATAGAAACAACTCTAATTCACTTTTTTTTTTAATCCTGGAAATGCCCCAATGAAATCAGAAACTTTGTAAGAGTGGAGATTCGATCCCAGTGCTTTCAAATGTTTTGACAAATACGTGGTTGGTTTTAATTACAACAAAACATAGCAAGATGAGGCGAGGCAGCGTGGTTGAGTGGCAAGAGCACAGGCCTGAAACTGTAGGGACCTGGATGCTCACAGAACATGTGAGTCACTTCCTGCTCCCAGCCTCAGGATCCCATACAGAAAATGAGGATGGTCTACAGCAGTGGCTCTCAAACTGGAGCCTGCATCAGAATCATCTGGAGGGCTTGTTAAAACACAAATTCCTGGGCTCTGCCTCCAGAGTTTCTGATTCAGGAGGTCTGGGCGGGGCCCCCAAAATTTGCATCTCTAACAAGTTTTCAAATGGGGCTGCCACTGTTAATCTAGGCCCCACTTTGAAAACTACTGGTCTAAACCATCTCTGTGGTTGACATGTCAAGGGTTCAGTAATAAATATTTACATATTTTCTTATACTCTTTAAGTCCTCCCTTTCTTCCTGTGTTCATCCATTCATCCATGGATTCATTCACCTAGTTATTTATACAACAAATATCTTGGGGACTCCTACTATGCATGAGACATTATGCAAAGGGCTCAAAGACAGACATACGAGATTGCTATAGAAACAAAAATATACGAGTATAATATTGCATAAATTGGGGTGTGCACGAAATATCAGAGAGATGAGCTGGCAACAGACTTTTTCTGCACAGCCTGGGAAACCAGAAGACAATGGAAGAATCTGCCGCAAGGAAAGGACTGCACCTCAGAAACCTTCTTCCCAGCTAAGATGTCGCCCACGTGTCAGGGCAAAAGGCAGAACGATGTTTGAAGATATACAAAATGTAAATTTTTCCACAAGTGTTTATTGAGCAGCAACCATGGGCCAGGCATTGTCCCAGGCACTGAAGAGATAAAGGTCAATAAAACAGAGTATCTGCCTTGAGGAGTTTCACATCTAGTGGGGAAGGCAAAAAACAAACCAGTAAATAGTAGACATATAAGGAATGTCAGGAAGTGCTAAGTGCATGAAGAAAAGTAAAGCGGAAAAGGGGACTGAGGTTGAAGGTACATGGACAGGAAAGGAGGTGACTGTTGAACAGAGAACAGAGGGTGAGAGAAAACTGTCATACGCATAACTCGTCTGACAAAGGACTTGAACCAAACAGCTTGGAACTGGCAGAGAGTCCCCAAAAGAGGGGAAAAGGAGAGCAAATTACGGTGACCAATCAACTTTGTGGAAGGCTGGAGGCATAAAGGATGGAGAGACAGATGGAGATAGATAATTAGATTCATGGGAGAGAAAAGAAGAAAAGAACTTAAATTCAAATGGATAAACTGCCTGAGA